ACCACAAGTTACTCCATGCAATCAAGAAAACACAAAAAAGAACATTGGGCAGAACATGCTGATTTTGTTTTTGACATGGTTGGAAGAGTAATATCAAGAGCAGCTGCAATGTCAAGAATGTGGGAAAGATTTGTAAGCCAAAGTTCATTTTACTGTTGTGAAAAAGCAAAAAATTTCACTTAAAACAAAATGCAGCATTTACAATAGACTATACTATATTTGTGTGAAAGTTCTGAGTTCTTTAGTGTGTCATTGTGTTGAGAATCAGGACAACAGAAAACGAAAACACCCCCTTCTTCAACCAGAATATAATTTTTAATAAGATTTTTAATCATAGTAAAAATGTGCAAAACTTTTTACAGGCAGTTTAAGTTATCTTACTCAGCAAGCGTACAGGTTAGTTTTTTGTTACAAAGTAATTAGATCTTAAAAGACTGGGGCAAAACAGAACTAAATGCCCTTGACTGCTAAGTAAATATTCAACTCCTTTTGTTAATGGACAGCATGCTCTCTTAAGTAGATAACTAAAACTACCAGCACAGAGCTCCAAAAATCAACCTAAATATAAAGGACTTTGACCACAAGACTGAAAACTGACAGAAAGAGGGGCTAAACACTGAGAGCAGAAAGGAAACAAGCAATGATTATTTTTAGAGACAAGAAATTAAAACAATGACAGACATAATTATTTAATTATATCATATTTAAATATGTAAAATAAGTTGGAATATCACAAAACAGAAAGGATCTCCTCACTGCAAGCTTATATTTGGATACTATGCATAGATTGGTAACCAATTTGTATATGGAACTGAGAACTAAAATCTATACGGTTTGCATCACCAACTGAAGCAGATCTCTTGTCTATAGGGCTGAGCAAATTTTTCTCCAGATTCAATAATTCCCACAAATGTGAACTTACCATACATTGACTAGGTTTTCTCAATACATTACATAAAGCTAAATGGCAATTAGATAGTTTATGGCTCAGTGTTGTGTGGAATCTGACATGATTTTAAACCATAATTTGGTTTAGGCACAATATGTTATAAGAACACAACAACTATGTTTTTATATCCTGTATATTATTTTGAATCCAGCCGACAAACTAAAGCAGTGGTGGTGAGCCTATGGCACACGTGCCGGAGGCAGCACTCAGAGCCCTCTCTGTAGGCACACGCACTGTCGCCCCAGCCCCGCCTCCCCCCACGGCCCCCTTCTCACCAGCAGCCCCCCTGGAGAGTCACCCCTGGGCACGGACCACATGGAGCAGCACAGCCAAGCACATGGCAGCCAGGAGCGGAGACAAGACTCCACCCTCACGCCCCATCGCACACAGATGCTGCGGGGCATGGGTGGAGGGCGTAGCTGCCACGGCGCTGCTGGGCCGCCTGGGCGATCTACTGCGGTGGGCCGTGGAGGCAGTGGGTGGCCTTGCGGGGCAGAGCAGACAGGGCGTGGAGCGGGGCAGGCGGGGAGGCAGGGGCGGTTTTTGGGCACTCAGTCTCTAAAAGGTTCGCCATCACTGAACTAAAGGATGGTGTTTGAGAATATGAACAGAACCTGAAGTGCCAAAGAGAAATTCTAGTTAGTCAAAGGTACATTGTCAGCAATAATGGTTAATTTATGACAAGGATCAAGATATTTTGAGGGATCTGAAAATACACTCTGCTTATACACCTCAATTCCTTCTTGGAATTTGATCAATGAATCTGCCCTGACAAAATATACCATTTTACCCCGTTTGGCTATAGAAATAGCTATTCACACAGGTTTGAACTCTAGAACAATTAAGTCCTTCTATTTGTGGATGTCAGCATGTAAAATACCAAGAGTTTCTGACAATCTTAAAATCATTCTTCCTTTTCATGCCAGGAACAATCTCAGAGAGAAATCGTTCTCATATTTATTTAAGAAATAAAACACACATTTAGTAGCATAAACAAATAGGCAATTTTCCTGAAAGGTTTGCCTGGACTTATATATGTCATTGAATCCATTGCTAAGTCACCTCAAGCAAAAGTCAAAGGAAACAGGTTTCATTCTGCACCAGAAAAGCCACAGTCGACATTACTGTACAACTGAGTGCACTGAGTGGGAATATACAGTATTTACTCCCCAGATGTAACATACTATATACCATACTTCAGTCTCATTTAAATATTATGCACTGGAAATATGATGTTTTGGATCTGATTAGGAAGAGGTATTTCAGATGGAAGGAAATATAAACATAAACCCTTGGCAACTCATTAAGACTGCAATTGCACAATGATACAAAAAAGATCCATCTGCTTTAATGAGTCACAAGCAGGATCTCTTACACATTCTTGAATATTTCTTCTGAATCAAACCTGGAGCACTGAATAATCCCACATATCATCCTACTCTTGTTTGGCCATTTTTAAAAATATTTGGCTTCTAATATTTGTAGTCCCGTCCAACTGATCCTAAACAGGCTGGCAGAATGGAGATGGATAAAGAATGACTTATTATATTTAAGATATTTAAATATATACATTCTAAAAACAATCTTTTCTATTTAGGTTTCTTTGTTCGGATTCACACACTCCTCCAAGCCATTGTGAAGTTTGTATAATTTTGGCTTACTATTTTGTGAAAGCTCAACAATTCTGGTTTACAAACCATGATTTATGGCTTTATATCTTGTATGTATCCAACTAACAACAAAGTGTAATGACTCAAACCACACCTCAATAGGTGAATCCAGTTTGTATCTGGCCACATATGAAGTTATGCATATTCTGTTTTTTTTCGCTGACAGCATAATTATTCTACAACTTCTACAGCATTTTTCATAGTGATATTGAAATCAGATGAGATTAGCTGTACTAAAAGGATCATTGATTTGATTTTTCCTGGTATATCTGACATGTTCACCTAAGACTGTTTTCTTGGGTAATATTCTAATGCTGCTGAGAAATCTTCAATTCTTTGCCCAATGTTCAGGGTGGTCTTAAATTGATCCAAAATCATGACTATTTAAACTCCCAACAGAACATGCTCCCAACTGACGGCAGCAGCAAGTTTCTCTCATCATTTCATTGCTTTTAATGAGAGGGGGAGAAAAGTGGGGGGAAAATTGGAGAAACAAATTTGGTCCCCACCTTATCCAAGGCAAAGACCAGGATTTAGTCAAGTAACAGATTCTCTTGCAGTTCCCTCCCCTGCCAAGTGTTGAGTTGGCTCTGCCTGACTAACTGCAAACAGCTAGCCTTGTACATTGCAAAAACCAATCAGCTTCATCCTTGCAAAAGAATATTTTGTGTCACCATCCTTAAACCAAAACTGAAAAAGCTAACAAAAATATAGAGCAAAGCTGATCTCAAAACTTGATATACTGAGACTTAATGGTAAACTCAGTAAGTCTAGAATGAGAGATCTTTCTAAAGATTGGTAAACGGATTTAAAAAAATGCACACAGAATAATCCATTTTCACAGTGGAAAAAATAAGATTGAGGTTTTGAAACAATCTGCATTGGACTACTGGTATTTCACACACTCATTCACAATTTTGAGTACTTTTTTTAAAAAAGTATGCACATGAAAGATTATTGAAACAATTTAAATTAATAAATGATACGCAATAAGGGATGTTAAATTACTGCCTCATCTTCTCTTTTTTATGACCCCATTTTTAAAAAAATCTATGTTGCCTCATTCTTTTCTTTTTCAGGTTTGTTTCAATTTGCTAATATTTCTACTGGAAAAATTATACATCCTTAGCCAATCGGACAACTTTCCTTATTTTCCTTGTTGCTGAGCTGCAAAATATTTAATTTCTTGAAAGATCAGACATTCTGTGACAGTTTGATCAGTCTCCATTACACCAGTTACAATACATGAGAAGGATATTTCATTGAAACGAAATTTTAGTAGATGAGAAAGAAGTCATTCACTACTTCGTTCTACACAAGTTAACATTCATAATTCATGCACGATCTCAGATCATATAATACAGTAATTTGCTGAAGCTTAAAGAAGTCTGGTAAATATCCAGATGAAAAAGGGATCCTTGGTACTTTCTGAGCTTGGTTGTTTTCTTGCAGAGATTTCATTACCCAAACTAGGTAACATCATCAGTGCTAGCAGAAACCTCTTCAAAAAAACAACCAAGTTTAGAGCGCACCAAGGACCCATCATTTCAACCTTGAGCTACAAACATTCTCCTTTAGATGAAAAAGAATTTGGGGACCTGATATATTCTATCTTTGTGGAACAAATGCAGGCTATAAGTAAAGCTGTGTTTCTTTTAGCAATAATATATGTATTTATTAACTATCACAGCTGTATAAACCTACTATATTCAGAGAATGAATGTAATTATGACGGAGAAAAAACAGGATAGCAAAAACAGGATACAGTAGGCAGGCTGTTGCTTGTGTTCAAAACCTTCACATCACTTTGAGATTTATCTTCAAAGCAATACCAGCATGAATCATTTACCACTCAAGGTCTGGCTTGATTTTACATCTTTCCCATTTGAAATAGCTTCTTGTTTAGCAATTTACCTTTAGAGCAGTAAATCAGCAATATTTCATTCCCCCCTCCAGTTTTTATAATAGCTGAACCTAAGTGACTGGCAGCAATTTCCTAAATTTATGTTCTCGAGTTCTGGGAATCTGGGTTTCTGCAGTCCCACCCAACACCGAGTTACGAGAGATGGGTGTTAATCGCTTTGGTATCTGTAGATGCCAATGAATTTATTTAAAGCAGAAATATGAAGTCAACCTGGAGTTTGACTTCAATGGCCATCATATTTTTCTGCTGAGAAGGACCCTGGATTCCCCCTTGATATTTCCACCCATGCCTCGGGCCATTCTTTCACTCCTAAACTATCAGAAAACCCCGAAGCCCCTTTTCCACTACTGCCAGAAGCGAACCTATTGTGTCGTTTCTCATCCCCTGCATTCCCTCCTCCCTTGTCAGGTTGAAAGACAGCACTTATTTCGCAGGGTCTTCCTAGTTCAACTCCTACCTGTAACTCGCCAAGCACCACTCGGCAAGACACACACCTTTCCCTTGAAAGCACATGGGTGTTCACTAATTTTTTTTCCTTAATCTGTCCGCCCCCTAATAGTTGGGACGCGTGGCCCTCCGCAACCAATCCAAAGACTCTTAACCCAAGAAAGAATGTGCTGATCCCTCCTTGGTTTAAACCGCATGCGCTGTGAGCAGAACGTGCTTTAAAAAAAAAAGAAGCCAGTGGGCGGTGTTTCTTGAATCAAGCCCCTCCTTCGCTTTCGACCGCCCAGAGAGCACCCGGGACGAACGTTCTACGTAGGAGGGATGCAGTGCGCACGCGCATGCCGCAGTTGCCCATGGTAACCGAGAGCCGCGTAGAGGATGGTGAGTGTGAGATTGGAAGGGGGAGAGAGCCGGGGACGGAGGAGGTTGGGGAGGGCGAATTATGGTGCCCCCCCCTCCAAACCCTGGCGCTGAGGATTGTTGAAGAGAGCCGTTCTTTGGGAACGGAGTGGTTGGTACGGAGGGGAGGCCGGTCTGAAGCGATGGAAGTGGGTGAATGGGCCTGAATGAAAGAAAAGGGGGGCGGGGGAACGAACGCGAATGGTCCCCTGTGTTTCTGGTTGGAGAAACTGTTCAAAATGACTACCAGGAAGAGAAGGTTGAGATTGAAAGATAAAAGTATCCCAGGAATAGGGCTTTTCGCTCGTTTTAGCATTTGTAAAGCCCATGTGTTTTGTCTACCGTACTGTGCTCTTTGGAATTTTTAAAAGAGTCTGAAATCAGGATTCACTATTCATTTATGTGAGTCAGTGCGAAGCTCCGTTTCTTATGGCGATCGTTTCTATCTGTGGCATTGAAATTGTGTCATTCAAAAGACAGTTTCTTAATCTTGTAGAGAGACATGTGACTACTGAGGAGCTTAGCCTTTGTAACCTGGAGTCTCATGGGGACAAACTGACCCATTTTAGAAGTGGAAATGGCTCACGAGGAGTCCTGTCGTTTTTTTCTTAAGATGCAAAAGTACATGAAAAATAGAGTTCAAATGCATCTTTCTAGGGTTTTTTTTTAATATTAGAAAGAAAAGGAATATTTTTCTCATTCTAATACCCAGAGATTTTCTTTTGATTATATGCCCTATGTGCCAATTTTGAAATTGCCCAGCTAGAATGCACCCAGAACTTGATAAGTATTTAAAAACCCATCAGGTATTGACAGAAGAGGTTTCCTTTTATCACGCTAATCCAGTGATAGGCACAGGGATTGTACACTTTATGTAATCCTGCTGTCACATTCTGAACAGAATTAAGGGGCAGGGAAAAGAGAAAGTGAGGGAGCAAATGTGAACTGGGATTGTGATACTTATAGGATAACTGCGTTGTTCTTTTGCTAGTGTATGGAGGAGAGCTAGAATAATATTTAATAATAGCAATTAAATTTATACGCTGCCTGACTCTCAGTAACTCTGGATGGAATTTAATAATATACCTTTGATTAACTAATAATTTGGCGACTGAAATATGATTACGCTGCTGAAACAAAGAAGAGACATTTGGGAGAGAATATTAGAGTGGAAAGCCCAAACTCCATTCAGTTTTGGTACCAAAAACAATCCTATGGGCATAAGTCTATGCCATAGAAAACAAACAAGTTTGTGGATCTTGGAAATTAAATTAGATTCCATAAACCAAAGTATCCATTTTTGGTACGTTAGGATGAATGAGAAATTATCTTTTAATGTACCTTTAAAATTAAGCTCCTGTCTCTCTTCCATTGCCATCTACAGTAATCAGGGTCAATAAGATAGGACATAATAAGACTTGAAACAGTAGCTTCCTTAATTCTTACATGTATATTCTGTACATTCCATTTAGTATTGATATAGTAGTTATCTAAAGCATCAGATTAGAAACCAGGAAAATGCATTCTAATCCAGCCTTGGGCACAAAGCCAGCCTCTCAGCCCTAGGAATAAGTCAAACCACTGCTGAAAAACCTTGCCAAGAAAACTGCAGAGACTTATTCAGGCAATCTCTGAAAATCAGATACGACTTAACAGGAAAAAAAATCTCTTTACAACATTTTCTTGGGGTGAAATGGGAGAACTAGCTGAGCAAGAACAACTTGATTGGCCAGTAGTCATAGCTCTTTAATACAAATATTTTGTATAATTGAAGAATACAAATTCTCCTTTTGCACAAAGTTATTTTCTTTCAGTGAATTCTGATGAAATACTGATATATCTAGAGTTTTTTGTAAAACAATTTAAGTTTTTTGGATTTTCCTTTAAGGAATAGATGCATATATTGGTGGAAAATACCCAAAACTTCATAGTCTTTCCTACAACCTGTAGCAGTCTCGATCACTCTTACTTTGTTCATGTACACTGCTATGTGAAAATTAATGATGTTGTACATTTCACCCTTAGCATAATTGGTGTGGTTAGTACTTCATGCATTTTGCTTCCCCCATCTTGATTCAACCTGCATAAGCCTTGTGTTTCTCCAGTATTTCAGCCAGAAGGTCTTCCAGCTTTACTTGAAGATGCCAAGGAATTAAACTTTGGACCATCTTCATTTAAAGCATGTCTATGAGCTTCTAATGTTTATTATTTGTACATATTATTCAGCACGGTATTCATTTCATACTAAAAAAGAATCTGTGTTTAGAACTAGATATTCTGGTTTAGATCTTTAAAATTTAAATTGTGCAAGCATGAGGTGACCAAGTGTTAAGATAAGTAAGTACATATGAAGCTGAGTTGAACATCTGTGTGAAGAAAAAGTAAATAGTATCTCTTTTATTTTACATTAATCATCAATTGAAATTGAAACAAGGTCACTCACTACAAAGGATATCATGTGCCAGGAGCTAGTTTCCCAATGATAATTTCCCCAGTGGTCGCCCAGTGTATATTTCTAATAACAATTCCAACTTAGTTGTAATTTTTGCAATTTGTGATCTCGAATGTGGAGGACATCAGACTGAGAAAGCCTGCTTTATAGGCTTAAACTCAGGGCCTGAAGTTATTTAGCAAAGAAACCCTGAAGTAAAACTGAAAAAGAATCTTAGACTAAATCTATTTTATGGAAAATGGATAGGAATAAGGCACTTAAAATATGTTAAGAGAGAATAAGTTTGCAGAGAAGCTGAATGTATTCTTTGTATCTTCTTGAATAGTTATCATTTGTTTCTTTTCAAAAAAGTCCATTTTCAGAAAAGGGCTCTGAAAATCTAAGACAAATAGTGATAATATTCAAATTAAAATTTAAAAAGTAAACAGTAAGATTTTTTTGTGAAAAATGTAACATATTTTGAGTGGTTTTACCAAATTATCTGCCAATTTAGAGAAGCCATTAAACAAATGTATGACAAATAACAAAAATTGAATTCAGTGCGAGAGATTAATGAAAATTAAACTACCAATAATATAGTTTAGACAAATCTGTGATGTGACCACATTTAGAGTTCTGTACAGTTCTGGCTACAATTATTTAATAAGAGGATGTTGTACAGTTGGAATAAGTGCAGGAAAAGAGTAACTTCATTGATAATTGAAGCAGGTAAAAGGAAGCAATTCTTCACGTAGGACATAATTTTAAGCTATGCAGTTATCACAGGATGAGATGCTTGCCAACTATAAAAGGAGATTAGTTATATTAATGATTGTTAAATATTCTAATGGCTCTAAATAATGCCAGCTATATCCTTTTTGTAAGATATATCCCCCCCCCAAATATTAATTATTGGAAAGCTGCTGGAGAGGACTGTTGCTATCATTTCCTGCTTTGGCCTATCAAATAGGCATTCTAGTAGGCAAGTAAAGGAAACAGATCACTGTACTAGAAAGGTTATATTTGACCTAGAACAGTGGTTCTCAACCTGTGGGTCGGGACCCCATTGGGGTCGATCGACCATTTCACGGGGGTCGCCAAGCAAGGCTGTCCGCCATTTTTTTTCCCCGCCATTTTTTCCCCCCTTTTCCAGCGGGTACCTTACCTCCCTTGGGCTGGGCCAGCTGGTGGTCGGCCTGCTCTGTCTCTGCCGCTTGCCAGCTACGCCTTGGCCGGCGCAGGGGGCGGAACCACGCATGCGTGCCGCTCCCGGGCAGGGAAAGTCCTCGACTTACGACCGGTTGGGTAGTCCTCGACTTACGACCGGTTTAGTCCTCGACTTACGACCGGTTTAGTCCTTGACTTACGACCGGTTGGGGTCGCGGCATTAAAAAGGTTGAAAACCACTGACCTAGAAGAATTCATTCTGTATTTTCAATTTTTTTTGTTGCACTCTTCTCAGATTCTGTTTCTGCATTAGTTCCCGTGGATTATGATTTGAAAATAAATATTTCTTATAAAGTATTCTACAAACATAAATATGCTATTAAAAAATCCCACTGATTTTTCCCATTAGGTAGTTTTTGGTTATACCATCTTCAAAATTAATAAAATGCTGTTAGTAGTGCCCTTTATATCTCCAAGGAAATATCTCCCACTTACCAAAAATATCTCTGTGATACTTATCTGTATAAATAATTTATCTTCCTAGCTTTTTCTGAAATTTCACAGTTGATAACCCGTTCACTAGAAGCTTTATATAATCATATGCTATTGAGAACGTTGAATTGCCACATAAAAGAATCAGAAAAGCAGCGTTTGCCTCCATTGAACCCTATTCTGTTTCTAAATTAATTTAAATGTACAATGGTCTCAGAGAAAAAAATGTCCTTTGATAGGCCTATGGCTTTTATATTGTGGGTAAAATAAGGTAATCGAGTTTATGCAAAATTAGGTTCAAAATTAATTTGTATGTTTCTCTTCTGAAAGTGAAACAGATTTTTTAAAAGTACCATTTGTTTGCCTAGTTCTTATCAACAGCTATCAATGCATGAACTTTTATCCAACAGAACCTGATGCTAATTTGGTCTGAGAGGACAAATCAAACCCATGATCATACAGCTGGTTTCTACACTTAAGGGATGTCTAAAATCTGGGTTTTTTTATTCTTAATCCAGCATCTGCAACTAGTACACCACATCAGTTCTTAACAAAATAAAAACAAAAATTATCCAGTCAAGGTAAAATAACTGCTATGAAATAAATTTTAAAGGCAATGTGCAGTGAAGTGCTATATAAATGTAAAAAATGAGCTCTAATTCAATAAAACCACTTTATCATGGAAAAAGTAGATTCCTCTTTAGGAGGACTGCAAAATCTATTTCAAATAGGTGTTGAAAATGGTTTAAATAGAGGTCAATTTTTATATTTTTTCTATGGATCTTACATTTTTAGCATTTTCAGTTAATATTTACTTAAATGGGACCAAATTATATTACTGATATATTTGTGTTAAAATTGTGATCAGAATATTTATATAGGATTTTTTTCTGTGTCCCTTATAGCGCTTGAGGTATGTTTGCTAAGGTTTGGGGATAGGTTAGAGAGATTACAATTCAGATCCAACCTTATTGTGGAAACTTACTAAGTATCTTTGAGCAGTCATTCTTTCTCAGTCCAATCTACATCAGAATTGTTTCATGAGAACAAAATAAAGTGAGTTTCCCTTGTATACCATTTTGAGATGCTGATGGGATCAAATAAATACAATTGCCGTAAATGAAGTTGATATCATAATTAAAAGCTAAATCTAAATTAATTTTTGAGGAGTGATGACATTGGGGAAAATATATACATACAGTATATTGATTTTTAACAATTCAAGCCTTTATGAGTCATATACCTCTGTCTGTTTTCAAGCTTCTTGTTTCTGCTTGTATGTTGTAATAAAGACTGAAATAGATCTTGAAATGTTAGAGAGTGGAACTTCTTATTCATTTAAAGTATTAAAGAAGTCAGGATCACATCAAGTGGCAGAATTAAAATAGTGGAAGGGAATGAAATAAAAATCAATCCAGAATCAGAGACACACCTCAGCTCAGCTACATCTTGTTGCTAATGGTTTTCTACACAATTCTACACAGAAGAGACAGCTTTTGTAAAGTCTGGAAGATGTTTCACTAAGAAATTGTAGTGAAAAGATTTGCCACTTAGAAGAGTAGCTAATAGTTCCTTCCATTATGATGTCACAGTCGTAGGATAAGAGTAGCAGGATCAGTTAATGTTCTGGCTCTGATGCTAGCTAGGAAACCAATCAACAGATCAAGGATAAGAATGAAAAGCCCGAGAATCCCGAAAAGAGATGGAAAGTGCTCTTATGTATTATGTTAGTATTTAGGAAAAAAATATTTCAATTATTTTGGATGCAACTGTATAAAAAATTAACAATAGTTATTTCCAAATAGAGTAGCTATTAGTAAAGCTATTAGATTGCCTTCAATGATATCCTTTAATTTGAATTCCATTAATATAACTATTTCACAGTATTTTAGAGAACTTGCTAGACTGCAGCCAAAGCAATTCTCGACACCTTAACAAATGGTTTTTTACATGTTCACTTCATCAAATGCTTGGAATAGAGCCCTTAAAGGTACAGAATATGTAGACACAGTTCTTAGAAGGGAAGGAAGGTGAGAAATGGTAAAAGGAGAGGTGAGAAAGATAGTGAAATTTCAGAGAGATAATGACTGTTAGACAGTAGTTGGGAATAACATAAAACCATCCACATAGCTTCCATGCACCAGAACAAAGATGCTTTACTTGCCATTTGTTGATAACATGTCTATGTCACTGTGAACCCACTGCTACAACAATTGATGTGAAAGCAGTTTTTCCATGTTATGCTGAAACTAGGCTTTCATGCACACAGTGTAGACTGGAACCATAACTTCTCTGGACTTTTTTCTAATGGGCAGGTAAACCAGTTGATTGCTGCCCTGATTGAGAGACCAGGCAACCCAAACCATTATTGTTCCTGACATCAGTTCTATTAATGACACGCTTTGGAGCTGATATGCTAGGGATGTTTTTCTACTCATTGAGAGCATGGAACGTAGAGAGGCTTTCTTCTATGCTTGCTCGTATTCTGACTGCAAGGGAGACCAGAATCCTGGTTTTGCAGACACTTTATTTTCATTTTTACTGTCTAAGGTTGTTCTATAATGTTTAAAATGTGTGTTCTTTTCTATTGTTAGCCATTGGTATCAGTTGATTTTAAAGGATCAGATTGCAAGCAAAAACAAAATGTTTAGTCTACTTAAAAATATAACCTATAGCAATGTCATATTATTTATAAATTACACATATTGATGATACATTTTTCTTCATCATTTTCCTCTGTTGTCTGTATATGTACACACACACATATATACACACTTCTAAAATTCTCATTCCCCTAACCTTTAACTGGGAGAAACAGTGCATCTTAAGGCAACAATGTTTGAATTTTTGAACCAAGGTACCTCAGAAGGACTAACTTACAGAATGTGTCTAAAAACCAGGACCCATGACTCTTGTGGAATTGAAATTTGTCAAATTTTATAAAATATTTTATAATATAAAAATGCTCATAAGACAGCTTATGCCATAATACAAAATATCATGAACCTTTTCCCATGCTGATGTTTGACTCTGCTATATAGTGCAACAGGAACTGATTGTATCCTAACTTTTCCAGTGAAGGCAGTACAGTATATTAGAAATTCTCTTGTTGAAGGCATTGAGGCATCTGGTAAGGAAATAAGTCTGAAAGATTGATTTAACAGGTCACAGGTTTTCTGGTACTGTATATAAATAGACTTTTATAGCCTCTTTCTTCATACCTTTACCTTTTTCAAAATGTTAATTGTTTTCTCTTTGTTCACTTTCTCAGTCCCTTTGTTAAATATTAATGTTCTTACAAAATCTCCATTTTCTTGTGTTGATTGTTATATATGGCATTATTCTTATTAAGAAAATTTATATGGTTTTTCTATATACAACAATCTCCATTTTGGCCTCCTTTATTTTGAAAAGATTAAATATTAAATTTGTTTCTGGTGTTTGTTCTTAATTATTTTATTTTAAAACAATATAATACTTCTTTTTAATCTTATCCACTAGGGGGATAGTTTCTCCCTGATTTTTGTATCATATATTCTATATTATGAATCTGTAGCTAGGGAACGGTATAATTTATTAACGTGCAGTATTTAGTATATATTGGGAATAGCATATGTACTTTCCAAAAATAGGTCTTGGAGAGGATAATTAAAATAGCAAGTTTCCTCTCTATTTGACTGACAGGGCTTGCTATCAATTCTGCGTAAATTGAAGAGTGCACCAGACCAGGAGGTTAGGATCCTGCTCCTGGGATTGGATAATGCAGGCAAAACCACACTTTTGAAACAACTAGCATCTGAAGATATCACCCATATCACTCCGACCCAGGTAAGGAAAGATGATACTACTGATACAGCAAATATTCCGTGATTAGATATAAGACTACATCTTGATGTTTGGCAGAGTTCCAAAAATACATTTACATCGGATGTGCGTACAACTCCCTTTCCAGATTTCAGTGGTATGGTTGTACAAATAGTCATGAATCACTTCCAAGCTGCACATTTTTTTTTCAAAATTATGGCAGCATCCTACATTTTAATTTTGATTTTGAAATCCAGAATAGCCAATAATGTTTGAAATGTCCTTCTTTTTTTTTTTTTAGGTCATGAAACCAGCAGTGGGAGATGATCTAAGAAAGAAAAGCAATCTATTATGATATAGATACAACTATAGCGATAGTGGCATGCCCACATGCCCACATACAACTGTTTCTCAGAAAGTAGACTGATGAGGTTATTCCCTGCAATCTTCTCAAGCGTTTAGGATACTCATGATCAAGCCCAGCTTAGTTTACTCTTGTAAAAATTTCTGGGCAGATAAACACATTTACAAATAGTTTGGAGTTACAAAGGCAATCACTAGTTTTATTTCTAACAATGTTTAAAAAGGCTATGTGGCATTTGGGGTCATTATGGGAAATAAAGGTTAGGATAGCTCTTTGATTTGAAGAATACCTGCTTCCTTTTTAATTTTGTTAAACTCTTTCAAAAACAGAAGGTATAATGTGCCCAGGAGCTGGTAAATCCAGTTTGACAGAATCATAACCATTGAGATGGTGGGCTCCCCTTCATTAGATATAATCAAGCAGAAGCTAGACATTCATTCATTCATATAGAGATGCTTTAATTGGGATTCCTGTAGTGAACGGGGTTGGGCTGGATGGTCTTCAATGGTTCTTTCCAACTTTATGTTTCTACAATCCCTGCCACTTAAAGGTGCCATTGTGTGGTTTATGAGATTAACATCCAATCATTTTGCCTTATTCACATAATTTAAGGGGATCTTAACAACATCATCTGTTTATAACCCTCCTTGTGTCTTTGCAGCAGGTTCTCTCTTTTTCTCCAGCAGATGGTGGTGTAGAGTCCACAGGATGGGTTAATTATGCAATCCTGCCTAGCAGAACTAAGACAAGAAAAAAACTCTTGCCACGCCTCTCTCTGGGTGTGACTTCCCCAGTTTTTTGTCTTAGTCAAGCTTAGCAGACGTGTTTCTTTGTTTTGCAAGGCTCCCGACTAGGCCTCATAGCCTTTTTCCTTTTTTCTGTTTTTCTTCCTTTTGTTTGGATTGGATCTTTTATTTTCCTTTCCCTTTGACTTCTCTGAAGCTAATTTGCGGTTCCTTTCCTTCTACGGAGAGGGATCGGTGTGCCTGCCGCCCCTCGGTGCTTCGGCGTGGGAGACTGCAGGCCCCATCTAGGGGGATCGCCGGATGGCGATCCTCTCAACTTTGCTCGACGGCTGTGCTCTTCGGATCGCTACCTTCGCCTCGTCGCCGCCGCCATTCGATCGCAGCGGCCGCTGCGCATCTAAGAGCAAGTTTCTGGGCTCGGGGAGGGGGAAGTTGCTAGAAGTTTCGCGTCCCTTTAATTCCCCGTTTTTCAAGCTCCCTGGTGGCCGGCGAGTCCAATATCACCGCGACCGCCATTTTAGAGNCCGCCAGCAGGACCGCCAGAGTGGAGGAGCCAGGGGCCAGTCCCAGTCCAAGCGTCCCTTCAGGGGCTCAGGAGGGCGGCCCTTTAGGCGATCCAAGTGACGCCGAAGGGGACTATCCCATCGGGGGTCGGCTGGCTCTGTTTTGCGACGTCTGGGAGGGCACCACCACGGACGCCTGGGTCAGGGAGACCATAAGACATGGTCTCTCCCTGGAATTTCAGTCTTACCCTCCAGACCGTTTCCTACAGTGTCCGGTTTCAAGAAATCGGTCAAAGGCCTCCCTGGTAACAACAGCGATCACCCATCTGCTGGACATCAGGGCCATAGAAAGGGTTCCTTCAGATCAGGTAGGAACCGGATTCTACTCAATACTGTTCGTGGTCCCAAAGACCTCGGGGGGCTGGCGAGCCATCTTGGATTTGAAGGGTCTCAACCGCTTTCTTGTTTACAAGAAATTCAAAATGCAGACCCTAAAATCCATCTTAGCAAGTGTCAGGAAGGGAGATTTCCTCTCCTCCGTCGACCTGACGGAGGCCTATCTCCACATTCCAATCTTGCCAGAACACCGCAGGTTCCTGAGGTTTGCCTACGCACACAGGCATTACCAGTATCGGGCTCTTCCCTTTGGCCTGTCCGCCCCCCGGGTCTTCACGAAGGTCCTGGCGGTGCTGGCGGCTCATCTACGGATGAGGCCGGTGCGAGTCCAGTGTTACCTGGACAACATACTCGTGTTGTCCAGGTCCCTTCACTCAGCCGAGTCGGACCTAAAGGTTACTCTGCGGACTCTTCAAGAACACGGGTTTTCTGTGAATTTCAGAAAGAGCCACACGGTCCCCACAAAGCGACTTATCCATCTAGGAGCCTTAATAGACTCAGACCTTTGCGAGGTTTATCTCTCTCCGGAACGTCAGGTCAGCATCCGGACACTGGCACTCCAGGTCCGCAGGGAACAGTGGGTGCCCCTGGTGCGTCTCTCACAACTCCTAGGGACGATGGTCTCTTGCTTAGGCATCGTGCCATGGGCCAGACTTCGTTCCCGGAGTCTCCAGTGGTTCCTTCTCCCATATCAGAGACGCAACCTCAGTGCATCAAAAACAAGGGTCAGGGTTCCGCACCAGACGCTGGTATCCCTACTCTGGTGGACTTCATCCGGCATTTCCAGGGGTACATTCTTCAAGGAGCCAACCAGGGTTACCCTGACCACAGACGCCAGCCTATTCGGCTGGGGGGCTCATATCCACAATCACCTCGCCCAGGGTCGGTGGTCACGGTCAGATCTGACCCACAACATAAATTGGTTAGAGCTGAGAGCAGTACACCTGGCTCTTCGGGAATTCTCTCCCCTGGTAAAAGGGAAACACATACTAGTTCTGACGGACAACATTACAGCCAAGGCGCACATAAACAAACAGGGAGGGACCCACTCTTGGTCTCTCATGCAGGAGGCCATGGCATTGGGTCTCTGGGCGGAAACCAATCTGAAATCCATCCGAGCGGATCACATCTCGGGGGTGGACAATCTACAAGCGGACTCCCTGAGCAGGGCCACCATAGACCATTCAGAATGGAAACTAGACCCATTCCTGTTCAGGGAGGCAGCCCTCAGGTTCGGGCAGCCAGTCCTAGACCTCTTTGCTTCCCCGGCAAACGCGCAGATCCCAAGGTTCTTTTCCAGGTTCAAATTGGAAGGGGTGGAAGGGACAGATGCCCTTCGGAGTCCCTGGCCCAGGGGCGTACTCTATGCCTTTCCTCCTCTCCCACTGCTCCCAGCGACCATTCGCAAGCTCCTACAGGAACAAGCGGAGGTTATACTGGTTGCCCCATTCTGGCCACGTCGGCCGTGGTTTGCGGATCTGGTGGATCTCTCGCTCTCTCCTCCGTGGAGAATCCCTNATTTTATTTGGAGCCTTGCGTCTGCATTTTGCGCCTCGACATGTGCCAAAAACTGGGGAAGTCACACCCAGAGAGAGGCGTGGCAAGAGTTTTTTTCTTGTCTTAGTTCTGCTAGGCAGGATTGCATAATTAACCCATCCTGTGGACTCTACACCACTCTGCTGAGAAAAGGCGTTCAGGTAAGAACAACGCCGCTTTTTCTCACCAGAAAGTCCATTCATAATGAAAAAAATAGAATGGCTACAAAATGACCTTTGAGCAATGGTGTGAAGAGCCTTTGGTCTAGATCAGGGATAGGCAACCTTTGCTCTTTTATGACTCGTGGTCCCAGAATTCCTGCTGGCTCAGGAATTCTGGGAGTTGAAGTCCACGAGTCATAAAAGAGCCAAGGTTGCCTACCCCTGGTCTGGAAGCTCTGTTTAGTGCTATATACAGGTTCTCTTCAACTTACAATCACAATTGAGCCCAAAACTTCTGTTGCAAGGTGAGATGGTGGTTAAGTGACTTTTGCCACCTTTTTACGACCTGTCGGTGACACGGTTGTTAAGTGAATTACTGCAGTTGTGAAGTCAGTAAGAATGTTATTAAGTGAATCTGGCTTCCCCACTGACTTTGTCAGAAGGTCGCCAAAGGTGATCATATGACCCCGGGACATTGCAACCGTCATAAGGGTCCGAAGTTGTGAAGGGTCCAAATTCTGGTCACGCGACTGTTGCAGGCGTGAAAAACTATCGTAAATCATTTTTTCCAGTGCTGTGGTAACTTCAGATGGTCACTAAAGGAATGGTTGTAAGTTGAGGACTACCTGTATTCATATGTTACTGTTACCAGATATAGAGTGCATATATTGTATGTAATATGTTCATTAAAAGAGTAGCCTGTAATGTAGCTCGGGGTGTGTGTGTTGTTTTGATTTTGCACAAGCGAAGTCTCAACCGATATCCAATTATGAGCATCTCAGAAATGCCAGCAGGTGGTGCTAGAGATTTGTATGTTGGCTCTGAATTGTAAGCAATTATTGATGAAATCCTCCCATGCCTGGAAGCAAAACCTACTTTCAGATTCCGAGCTTAGAACCCATCCCTTGTATTGCACCGTAGCTTGTGGCCAGTCTGCGCCACTTCTCGTTTTTCTAGTTGCACACCCTTTCAGTTGGAGGTTCAATTGATGAAACGGGTCTTTCAGAAATTTAGCTGGTGCTTTTATCTTTCTTCTGTGAAGTCAAATTCAGAGCTTTGCTTCTGATTAACCTGCCCATTGGGTTTGCCTTTCAGAACAGAAGCATTTTGTTTTCCCCTTATTTGCTTATTCTTTGACTTTCCAGTGTGCCCCTCCTTCCTTCTTATAAGCTGCAACATATATATATTTAACTGTGACATAAATAGATCCCCGGCACAGGCAAGGCTACTATATCCTTCACCTTCAATTCATCTAAATAGCAATATAGGCTTTATCTTGTTACATTTTCCAGGGTTGAGATATATAAGCTGGGAGTAGCATGAGCTAATGAAATTATAGCCAAGTACTGTATCCACTCATGGTTTTTTTTTGTTTTAACTTTATTTATTATAGGGTTTTAACATTAAAAGTGTGCAAGCCCAAGGTTTCAAGTTGAATGTGTGGGATATTGGTGGACAAAGGAAAATCAGGCCATATTGGAGAAATTATTTTGAGAACACTGATATCCTGGTAAGCATTGGATATATGGTATGGTATATTAAATAACACAGGGACTTTAAATTTAAGATATGTTGCTGCTAAATATCTCCATTTATTTTGTAGTAGACAGGAGGTCCTGTTTGCAAAGCAAGCATGCATATGTCAATTTATGAAATCTTTAAAACTTTTTATTTTTAACTACTTTAACTCAGCCATGTGCTATCTGATAGTTTTATTTGATATTGCCTTCTGTTTGAAATTATGTGATATTTCAGATTGACAAGAATGAATTGAATTGTGATGTGGGATCTTTTCATTCATACCCATAACTTTTCTTGAATGCTATATAAAACAGAGATGAAATATTTCCAATTGCAACTATTTCACGTATGGAAGGAACATTTTAAGGAGCTGTTCCCATTTTGGTATCTTTTGTATATCATATTTGGGAACTTTCTTCCACCACCACCACATATCACTCACATTTTAAGTTCTCAAATTTGTGTTAATTATCATTGTAATATTTGTGACAACAGTCCTTTAAAATAAGGCAGCATTATTTTCTATTACAGTTGGAAAATTGAGGCCAACAAATAGTTGCTTGTCTAATGTGGCATTCCTATTATCTTACTATAAAAAATACTTTAGGTAGAAAACTAGATATTCACAGAACCAGATTAGCAGGAGAATCCAGAGTTGGTGTGGCAGATAGCCCATATTATTCTTGGGAACTGGCAGATAGTCTATATCTTCCTGAATATTAAAAGGAGAAGCTACCATCAGTTACAAAGTTGCTCATTGATTCACTACTGCATAAAACATGCATAAAGCACCGAGTAATATCCAGAGATGAAGAGACAATCTATGTTTTTATTATAGAAAACATACAGGTAGTCCTCACTTAACAACCACAATTGGGACCAGCATCTCAGTTGTTGAGTGAAGCCATCACTAAGTGAGATGTCATATGACTGCTTCACTCAATGACTGCAATCCTGGATCTTCCAGTTGTGGCCATTAAACAATAGTACATTTTTTAAAATGGAGCTCAGGGGTGTCTCAGTGGTGGGTGTGGCCCTGGGAGTCCAAGTGCAGACTGAGCACAAGTTGTAGGTGTGCTGCAGTGTGATGCAAGGCTGCTACAGCCCAGGACATCTTGGCCTGCTCCCTGCCTGGCCCAGGAGGCTTCGGCTTGCTCCCTGCTCCACCAGGCCCAGGAGGCCTCAGCTAACTCCCTGCCAGACCTGGGAGGCCTTAGTCTACTCTGCTCCCTGTCCCACTACTATGTGCAAAGCAACCCACTTATTTTTACTGGCAGCAAAAATCCAAGCAGAGACAGAACTAAAAATCCTTCTCTCCCTGCAGCTCCATAGAAATGGAGCTCCTGGCAGCTCTGCAGGCACGGAGCTCCCTACAGCTCCGTGCCTGCAAAGCTGTAGGAGAGAAGGATTTCAGCCCCTTGACTGTTTGGATTTCAGCAGCCAAAATTACAGAGCTAAAAATCCTTTTCTTCTCACAGTTCTGCAGGTACTGCATAGGCATGGAGAGATAGAGAGAGAAGGATTTCAGCTGCATATTTGCTTCCATGGAGCTGAAATCTTTTGACAGGGAGCTCGTTCATCCAGCTCCCAGAGATGAATATGAGCCCTCTCAGCAAATGACAGCAGCTTTCATTTTTCCCTGCCAGCTTCCCCAATGACTTTCTGGGGAAGCCAGCAGAGAAGATTACAAATGATGTTTACATGATTTGCAGGGGACTTGGCAACCAGTTGTAGGCGGAAACAAATTGCCAAACACCCAGATCACGATCATGTGACGGGGGGGGGGAAGGGGGATTCAGTATTTTGCAATGATCAGAAGTGCTTTAAAGGTCATAAACACCCTTTCAAAGGCAGTTGTTATTTCAAACTGTACTTCAGTGAATGGTTGTTAAGGAGGACTACCTGGAACCAGAAAGGCAGAAAACTACCAAAGCATTTATTTGTTACAAGTCACCATAAATTTGAAGACCAAAGGATAACGACTGCAATCTATAGCTATTCTAGAAAGCTTAAAATCAGACTTTCTACAAACAAAAAATTCTAAGCAAGAATGAAGATTAATGCAGGGGAAAGAGGCGCTTGCCACTTATATAACCAAATCAATTCTGTACCCTGGTGAAGAGGAGGCATGAATGGAGAGCTCAGGCTTCCAAGAATGGTTCAGATCTTATCAGAACAATATGTTGCTGCAGAGACATTCCAGTTAATATAGGTATATCAGTGTCAGAGTGAGGTGAACATTTTTCTTTGTAAAGCAGCAGCAGCACAAACAGAATTCTCTGATAATTCAGTGGGGGGAAAATCCAGTGAGACCAGACGATAGATGTTAAGAGTCTAGCAAAGGGAGTAGCGAAACTAGTTATGCTTAGCTCAGCTGTAATTAAGGGATTGTGTTCTGTTACCATGGAATAAGCAGAGAGGAAAGCCATATTCATACAAGGAAGACTGAATTTAATTCAGCATTAATAGTGGACTAACCTGCCAGTAATCCCATAAATCAACTTTGTAAAGATTTATTACTTGCTGCTTTCTGGCTTTTTTCATTACCGTACTTTATTTTAAATAATTTTATTAATTATTCTCCTAATAAAATGAAGTGGCCAACTGGGGCTGGTGCCACTGTCCCCAGATAGGGAACAACTGAATCTTTCATAACTTCCTCTTTGATTTCAAGTAATCTCTTAACTAGGGTGACATGGAAGCTAGACTAGCAGTAATACTGTTCCTGAACTAACTCTATTTCACATCCCTCTGCTAAACCATTGCTTTGCTCAGTGGAAAGTGTCTCCTGCGGAAGCTAGGGGAGCCACAGATCCAGATTCATGCATTACATATAATTGTGGTTGAATATGCTAACATAAAGTAAGCTATGCTTTTATCTGGGTTCAGGTGAAAATGTCTTATAACAGTGATGGCGAACCTTTTAGAGACCGAGTGCCCAAACTGCAACCCAAAACCCATTTATGCAGTGTCGGGTGCCGGGTGGGTGTGGCCATTGGCTGGGTGTGGCCCATTGGATGGGCGTGGCTGCAGTGATAACGGCACATTGGGTGGGACTAAAAAGTTCAATCAATCAATTCCAACTTTGCAAGATCTTTTTTTTCCTGCAAGAAGTTGAAATTGACTGATTGATTGAACCTTTTTATTTTTTGCACACGGCAGTGGAGGCCTAAAGCGAAAAGGTTTTATAAAACCCAGCTAAAGGCCTAGGACTGGGGCGACGGTGCAAGTGCCCACAGAGAGGGCTTTGAGTGCCGCCTCTGGCACCTGTACCATAGGTTCGCCACCACTGTCTTATAATATCATACAATAATGGGCAAAAAAGTTGTTTTTAAATTGTATGTGTAGATCAATTCACCTAGGCAAGCATATCTGATGTCACAGCCAATTTTTTTTAAAATGGTCATTTTTAATAGGTAAGTACCATTATTGGCATGTCCTGAATTTTATTTTTCTCAGATATACTATTTATTATTCCTTCCAGATACTAATATTTGTACAATCTTCCCTCAGAATAATGCTTTATGCATCTGATGAAATGAAGTATAACTATAAAAGCTTTACTGTAGTAAATATACTGGTTTTTAAATTCCTTGAGTCACATATTTTAATTATAACCAACAAACTAACTATCTCTCTGGAAAATGTAATGCTCAAAATATAGAAGTGTTGTCAAATGTAAATCTACAGATTCTAGATTGCCTGAAATCATATGAGAAATGGAGTAGATAAATTATTTGCTGCCCTCTACTTTGCAATTTCTGCTATGCTAGTAGCAGTTTTCCAATATTAGAGTTTTGCTGACAGTGTCAGCCTGATTGCAGCAGAATTTATTCTTATGTTGTTGTTGATCTGCTCCCACCCTCCTTGGGAATATTAACACTTGTATCCTTGCTCGCTGATTTCAACTTAAGGGTAATATTTTGCTGTAGGGAGTTTATAACAAAGTATAAGGGCTGTTAGTGGATCAGTGGCTAACAACCTCAGTCTGGAGCTGTAATACTGCATTTCAATTAGTTGGGTTTTTCAATCGTAGTGAAGGTAAATTTTAGAATAATTGCTGATATTTATACTATTTTCAATTAAATATATCAAAATTGATTTTAAAAAACTAAGACACTCATTAAAATATTTAAACATGTAGAAAAGAAGAGCAGTTGGGATGGTCCAAACAACTAAATATAAAATATATGTAATAATGGAGACAGTCTTTCAAAGGATTGATGAATAAAAATTTAGTGCTGAAGAAAGCTGACTGGAATTTTTTTTATTTCAAAGAAAGACTGTCTAGATCACAAAAAGAATTCACTGCTGATGTTATGCAGATTTTGTACAAGTTTATTATTACATTTAGGATGCTACTTTTTGATAAATTAGTAGCAATGAAATGAACATATTCCCATGTAATAGCATCACATGAATGATCTATTCAAGTAAAGTATGACTGTAATAGATGCTAAGATTCTATGTGGACAAAATAGCATGTGATTAACAATATATATTGTATCCTAGCAAATTTAATTATCCTATAAAGGATAAAGATTTTAATTAGATACTGATTTTTAAACTCTAATCTGGTCTTTCTTGTACAGCTATTATGAAGCAAAGAAATGTTTAACTTTAAATTCCTTCATCTAAGAAGTGCAAAAAGAAAACTGACATTTCATACACAAACACAGTGAGCAAATTCATATAAAATCAGTTTTTTATACATAACAATTTCCTTTCAAAAATGATTTATCCAAACATCCTTCATACTGAGATTTTAAACCCAAAGGCATAGTTTCTTCTGTTATTTCATTTTAACCCACTATTATAGTAAAGGGAAAGCTGGATTAGGGGCTACATTAGTTTGGTTTGCCTTAAAGGGATTTTTGTAAACAGACAGCATGCTAGCTAAGAAACCTGTCTTAGCTCAGAGTTGAAGAATATTGCACAAGTGAGAGGCCCTTCCAAGAATATTTTTAACACATGAAGTGATTGCACATTCATAAACATGCAGGTGTGTTTGAATGGGAGATACTTCAGTCTCCCACACCTGTGCTCTTTGGAAGCTATGCACAAATAAAGGTGTGTATATTTGAATGATTGCATATTCAGACATACACCTGCAGCCGCTTTGCAAAAAAACCTTCCAGATATGGAAATAGGGACTTGATAATGTATATCTATGCTGCTTGACGCAATGCTGTTCATTGTGATGTTGGCATTAGGTCTGCCTTCTCAAGTTCTAGTTAGGTGCTTCTCATAAGTTAAGCTTAGATGAGAAATCCTAGAGACAGTCAGATGCTCCAGGGATCTTGTTGAGTGGTTCTGCAAACATAGCTGCCTCTTAAGCTTAATCCACTGTTTCATTAGGACTATAAAAGCAGGTCATTATTATAAATGTTGTCTTTGGGATGATGTATATATATTGTTCCCATGACCAGTTATGCAACTAGTAAACATCCTAGAATGACATAATTGTCAAACTTGGTGTACAGGATAATCAAAGGATTATATTAGCCTAGTTTGGACGGTAACCAACATTTGAAAGAAACTGCCCACAAACACAAACCATTGCTTTTTCCTACATAGTCCTAAGTACACTAGTCTTCAGTTCATCATCATCATCATCATCATCATCATCATCATCATCATCATCATCATCATTCCTCTCCCCCTTTTTTTAACTTTGAACTGGGGCAAAGCACTTTCTACCTTTAGAGAAAGCCAGAATCCTAAATGAACCTCATAACATAGTTTAGGATTCTGATTTGTTCTTAAATTAGTAACTATAGTTTCTCAATCTGAAAAAAACTGGAAGGTAGTGTTCCCATTTGTATAGCAGGAAGATGTTGGGTGTATAGGCTCACATTTATCTCTCAGCTTAAGACATGATTGTTTGAAACAGTTGTCTATCTTGAGATCCTAACTTACAATTGGAAAGACTTCATTTAAATGCTTTGTGGTGGCTAAAGTATGGGCTCAATTCTCCTAGATTGCAGTCATAAACACCAGGAGTCATAGCTTTCCCCATCATTTTCCCTTACCCCCAAGACCCAAAGTATTCAGAGAGGCAGAAGAAGTAAAGGAGGGCAGAAACCAAGGTACAAAAAGAATGAGTTGTAGTGTACCAGTAATCACAACTTGTGATAACAGGTACATCAGTAAGTTATCACTTATTAAATAAAAACTTGTGTATTTTTTCTCCCTACATATATATCTATAGCTAATGATGCTAAAGGATTCTGTCCTTTTTCGGATACAGCTCACAGCTGAAAAAAGTGTTATAAAACACTAAAAAAAAGGGCTGACGATTTTATTCCAGACAGATTTTTCCCGTTTCAACATTCATTAATTTTAACAGGCATTAATTACTTAATTTTGAGAGATTATTATTGCAAAAACTTGTTATTACAGATATACTGTCTGTCAAATGGCATCATACAGTTGAATTTTTAAGCCTATTTTCCTTATTTGCTTTGTAGATTTATGTCATTGATAGTGCTGATAGAAAAAGATTTGAAGAAACTGGTCAAGTAAGTATGTCACAGCTTTTGAAAGTAGGGATACAGTACAATGAAATTTGTCAGAATTTGACGTGGAACGTATAGTAATAAAAATGGAGTTTCATTTAAGTTACAGCTTTCTGTCAAATTTGGAAATTAGCTGAAAACAGGGAAATTATTTTTTAAAGTCCCTTTTCAATTTTCACAAGTTTGACCCAAATAATTTTTATTTTTTTGCACTCAGATCTGAATTATATAGACTCTGCAGTACCATCTTAAAAATATGAACGTTTTCCTGATAATTTAATGCGGTGATTGGTAAATTCTGATTTATGATACAATGTTCACATCAGTTGAATTATGTAAGGTCTCCATGTTATATCGAGCAGCTTTGATAATTATAACACTTTTCCAGCTGCATCCAACCATCCAAAGTGTATGTTCATCTTTGATATGCTAATTATCATTTTGCATCCATTTATTTCCCTTTTTTGATGCCATTAACAGAAAATGTGAAATTTGAGTATGCTGCATCGTAAGTTCCTACCCCTTAATTTTAGGAATGTTTTTAAGGTCAATGTTAATTTAGTTTAGAATGGTATTTGCAGGATTGGTTTGTATTTAATCTTTAATGCATTCATTTAATGAGTATATAAATTAATACATAAGCGCATTATACAGGGATGCTCAGTATTCCTTTTAGTAGTCAAAATTGCCTTATAAAGATTACACTTTTTTTAAAAAAAAAAAGATGCATCAATGACCCATATATTAGAGATGAATAAACTGAATTAAACTTTAAAGTTTATATTTAGGATTCTTGCAGAAATTGAAGCATTTATAGGCTAAAATAAATTGTTTTTAAGAGTTATTCCATTATACTGGCAAATTCAGTTTATAAGTGTGCTTGTATATGTTACATTGGCTGTTCCACAAGTACTAGTATCTTGAAGGTTGGGATTGGCAATCCATTGCTGTTGCCCTGAAGGCAGTTAGATTATACTCTTGTTATAATTTTAGAAAAACTTATTTTAGGTTATGGTGTTAGTGCTTGCTTGTGTTATATACCTGGACTCTTTATTCTAGCATCAATACGGCTACAATAAAACATTAGGTTACAATATTTCTCCAGAATTGTTTAGGGAAACAATTAAAGGTGTTAGTAACAACCTTTAAAGCGCTCCATGGCAATGGACCTAGGTATTTGCAAGACCGCCTCCTACCAAACACCTCCCTTCGGCCAGTCCGCTCCCACAGAGAGGGCCTCCTTAGGGTGCCGTCGGCCAGTCAGTGCCGGCTGGCGACCCCCAGGGGGAGAGCCTTCTCTGTGGCAGCTCCTGCCCTCTGGAATGACCTACCCCCCGACCTACGTACAACTGTGGACCTGCGCCTTTTTCACCGAGCCCTGAAAACCCATCTATTCCGTGCGGCCGGCCTGGCGTAGTCTTAATTATGTTTTAGTAAAGGTTTTATATGGGGTATTTTAGAGCAGGCCTTTATTTAATCTGATTTTAGAATAGAAATTTGAGTATATTTATTGTGATTTTTATTATCGCCTGTTCACCGCCCTGAGTCCCGTAAGGGAGATAGAGCGGTATACAAATTTAAATAAATAAATAAATAAATAAATAAATAAATAAATAAAAAATCTTGTTCATTTTATAAAAAATTCTGCACATGTCTTTACATTTCAGGAACTAGCAGAGCTGGTGGATGAAGAAAAGCTAAGTGGCGTTCCAGTACTCATCTTTGCAAACAAACAAGATTTACTGACAGCAGCCCCTGCTGCAGAGATTGCAGAGGGTCTGAACTTGCACACAATCCGGGATAGAGTCTGGCAGATTCAGTCTTGTTCAGCCCTGACAGGAGAGGGCGTGTCGGTGAGGAGACAGTGTTTATTTTGGCAGAATGGCTTTTCTACTGATCTGAGAGAGATAGGCATTCCCCTTGTTTTGCATCCCAATGTTTTCAGTGTAAGCTATGAAGCAAATGCATAATGGAGAAATGTAATTTTTAACTCACTCGGCAAGAGAGAGGTTCTATGTATGATGGATTTCTCCATTGCAAATCACACACTGATTCATATTTTTGCCCCCATTCTTCTTGGATTGTCCTCAAGTAATTATTTGCTTCCTTTAGCAACATACGTTCTATATTGCAATTTAGTTTTAAGAGTAATAGTTTTTATTGTACCAGTTTTTATTTAGCCATCCTTCTTAATTTGTTTTGGCCACAAATAATTATTTAATAAGCTCTTATATTTTATATTGTGTAAAATTGTGAACAGTATAAGTACGTACGTATCATTCCGTATTTGTAAGTGGTCCCTCTATAATCCTGTTTTGGCCCTATTAATAGGATATGTGTGTATGTGTGTGCGTTACTGCATTAGGCAGAGTCACCAACGAGATCTAGAATAAGATTGATGACAGTAGGACTCAGTAAAAGTGTGCTGAAAATAAAATAAAATGCAGGATGAAGTTCCATTTTCCCTGAGTTAAATTTCAGAATCCGGTCAAGATGGGATGCACTCTGGACCAAAACAAGATAGCCTGGGCAATTTCAAAAGCTGAAGATTAGGTCCTTATAGAGCTCCATTAATATGCATAATATATTCATTAACAAACAGAAAACCATTGGGATATTGGGGAAAGTAAAGACCTTTTATTTATTCCAATTTCCATTCCTTTTCTATACCTTCCTTTTTCTTCAGTCCAGCACCATGGCAGAAAGCCCCATCTATCCCAGTGGACTGTGAAGCTGTAACTACAAACACCCTTGTTGCCCTACACTCCGAGACACCTGTTGCCCTCCTCTGCTGCCCCAGCTGACCTTTGCAATCATCTCGCTCCCAGTGTTGATGAGCCATGCCGGGCCTGGCTCTTTGTAAGACAACTGCTGCCCATGTGAGGCCTTCTTCCCCAGGTTTTGTGAAGAAACTGCCACATGTAACATTGGGAAGAAAGCCTCATTTATGCAGTAGCTGCCTTGTGAAGGGCTAGGCTGGGCAGCGAAAGCAAAAACTTGGCAAAAGTCAGCTGGAATGGCAAAGCACAGGGCAGCAGGGGCTGCAGAGTGCAGGAGGCCAAAATGGAAGAGATAGGCAAGTATGTACGTGTGTGGGGGGGGTTGAAGAAGTCAAGTACAGGTGGGCTGCTAGGCAGTCAGATTTTGATCAAGTGACTGTGGGGGCGCTGCAGTTGTAACTTCTGGGACCAGCCATTTGTTGTAAAAGTACCATTTGTGCAGCACTGTTGTACAGATAGTCTTGCTTAATGACCACAATTGGAACCAGAAGTTTGGTCATTGAGTGAAATGGTCATTAAGTGAGATGACTGCTTCAATCAACAACCATGATTCCAGCATTCCTGTATGTGGTTGTAAAGTGATTGCACAGGTTAAGTGAATGGAGTTCCAGGAAAGGAGTGCAGGAGTGCCTCAGCAGGGTGGAAATGGCCCTGGGAGGCCTGGTGCACACAAATTAGGGAGTGCTGCAGTGCAGTGTGCACACAGGGAGGTCACATAAGTCAAACCTGGGGGTCTCAACAGCCTCAGCCTGTCCCAGTAGGATGGCAAAAAAGCGCCACCCCCAGGAAGCACAAAACACCCGGAAGCTCCAAGAACATGGTACAAAGCGCTCTACTCCCCATGAAAGGCCACATGTCTGTGCAGCCCCATCCAGGCTGACTTGGCTACAGTTGTTGAGGACTTTAGCCAGCAGGTAAGGGGTTTCCCTCTCCCCTCAATGGCTCTGCTATCCCAACAGGCTTCCAGTTACAAAGGTGGGAAAAAATCACGAGTCCAGATGGAGGAAAGTGGTGAGTGGCAAAAATAGGTGGTAGAAGGAAAAAGCGGGGACCAAGGGAAAAAGAAAGAAAAACATGGCTGCCCCCATGCATCTTCCTCTTTGGACATTGAGAAAAGGAGACTTGCTTGGGATTTCCCATGCTGGATGCTGCTCTTTGTAAAATATTTTTGGTCTTTTCTAAAGGGTAGACACAGGTTGTTCTCCTGGCTCAATGTTAGATTGTTATGGTGGGAGTGGCTTCCTCCTGCTTCTCATGGCAGCTATGGTTTTCTTTTGCTTTTCCCTCAGTCTCCACTTCCTCCCTCTGATATTTATTGTTGCCACTCATTACTTCTCTCCAATGTGGACTCCAGTGAATTTTTTCTTCCTTTTAAATGGTGGCCCGTTGAATAGCAGAGCTACTATAGCAACTATAGCCAGGTACTTTCTGGGGCAACTATAGCCAGGTACTTTCTGGGGCTGGGAGCTATGTGTGCTCCTCTCTCTCCCCTGGATTCTAGAGCAAGGCTGGGTTGGGGCTTCCCAGGTGTTTGTTCCTTAGTATTTGTATGGGAGAGCTTTTTCACTCCCAGTTGTCAGAGTTTCCTGGGTGTTTAAGAGCATAGATGGATAAGAAATAGGGGGCGAGTGAGGGAAGTTGCAGTGCCCGTGAAGTTGTAAGGGTGAGTTAACTGCCAACCGCCCAACTTTTCATTGTATGACCCTAACCCTTAACTCCAGGCCCAGGTCATAAGTCCCTTCATTCAGCACCACTGTATTTTCAGACAGTTGCTGAAGGAACAATTGTTAAGTGTGAACTACCTGTAATTAATTTCAGATTTAAGGCTTAATAATTTTCTGAGGAAGTTTGGGATGATATGAATGTATATTACTTTACTTATTTTAAAACATGGAAAGCTCTTCTGTTGAGTTGAAAGGTTTTTCTGCTGATTCTGTATGGTATCATAATTAATAAGGAAGTACTTTTAACCTAAACAAGGTTAAAAAGATGACTATTGCCTTTGTTGTAAATAACATTCTGTCCTCATTTCTTAGTATTTTGTCAGTTTCCAAGTTACGAATCATTTATACAAATATGGCTACATTCATTTGGCATTTGTTTTCTTAGATTCCAAACATCTCCCATCATCCACAATATGAGCTTCAACAGTCAAAACATATGGTCAATAAAGCTTTTATCTAGAAGAGGCCAAAATCAAAGTTAATTTAAACAGGAAATACATTTGGTCATTGTAGAATGTTGGAATATTTTATTTCTAATTAAAAATGCTTGCTTTTTCTGAAAAAATACTCCTTTTGTATCAAACATGGATGAGGAATAGATCTTTGAGACAGATAGGCATTTTATCTTCATCAAAGTTACATGCCAAGGGCAGACGTATTATTCTTCTGGTACCAATGTATCTAGCATGCCCGATGCAGATATAATGCTACCAGATTTTCTAAGCATATACATTTGCTCCACATTTTTTGCATGCATCACATTTTATGATGTCAAACTATAAAATGTGAAATAATATATCTATGTATACAGGTGGTTCTGGTCTTATGACCACAATTGAGCCCAAAATTTCTGTTGCTAAGCAAAGCAGTTGTTAAGTGAATTTTGCCCCATTTTATGACTCTTCTTGCCACAGTTGTTAAGTTAGTAACGGTTGTTAAGTGAATCTGGCTCTCCCCTTGACTTGTTTGTCAGAAGGTGATCACATGACCCCAGGACACTGCAACTGTCATAAATATGAGTCAATTGCCAAGCGCCTGAATTTTGATGATGTGACCATGGGGATGCTGCAACAGTCATAAGTGTGAAAAACGGTCATAAATCACTTTTTTCAGTGCTGTTGTAACTTTGAATGGTCACTAAGCCTACTGTTGTAGGTCGAGGAGTACCTGTATAGGGTTTTCAAAATTTCTTAAAGAAAACATGATCTGGATCAGTGTTTCTCAACCTTGACAATTTTAAGGCATGTGGACTTCAACTCCCAGAATTCCACAGCCAGCATTGCTGGCTGTGGAATTCTGGGAGTTGAAGTCCACATGTCTTAAAATTGTCAAGGTTGAGAAACACTGATCTGGATGGTGGGATGGAAGATAGATTTTGTTAGATTTTAAAACAAGCTTAAAATTCAGCTACTATACAATCTTGTAACCCAGCAATAGTGGTACTAAAAGCTTTTAAAGTTTTTTGAAAGAGAGCTAGGTGAAAAATTAATTTTAGTTTAATTTCTAGTCTTTTGAAATATTGCATTCGTGAACTGTAAAAATATGTTGATATTTCTTTCAGTGCAGCTTAAAAATAGTTTCATAGAAAGATAAGTCAGCAGAATTACTTCCTTCCCAGTTAAGCCTTCTCCCCCACAAGAATTTGACTAAATATAAAAACCATTTGCCTCTCATACAATTGCATATAAATTTAGAGTGTCTTCTCCCTTCAGAATCAACCTAGGTGTGATCATCCTTCTTTCATTCACATCCACAAAATGCTGTTGTCCAATCACTGTCATCCTGGATTTTGCCTTTTGTTCTTCCTTCTTTTCTCAAAATGAAAACAAGATTGTTTTGTTTTTAACTTATATAAAAGTAGAAAGTTCATAGGAATAGTTCTCACTTCTTTAAAAGGCAGGTTTACACATGGGAATGATGTGTGGGGAAAATATATAAGATATAACAAGGTAACATGACATTATTGTACAAGTATATATATAACTTTATAGCAGTATCACCATTATTGTTATGGAAAAAAATAATACAGCGTTATAAATACAGTATATTATTATTGTGGTGTATAAATCACACAGAACCACATGAAAAATGAGATATAAGCTTTTCCTCTCATCTACTCTTGACCTAACTCCTTGTGGATCTTGTTGAAGCTTTGCTATGAAAATAAATAATAGAAACTGACTTTAGAAATGGCTAAGGAACGCGAGACATTATTGCTGAATAATAATTGAAAATAATTTTATTGAAGTTTAAAAATATAAAGATAAAAAATGAATACAAAGAGAAATATTAAAAAGACAAAAAGATAAAAATGCAGACAGAAAAAGGGGGATAGGGAAAAGAGAGAATATATATAAAATAGAAAAAAACCTAGAAAAAAATAGAATAGACTTCCTCTTTGATCAAGAAAAGTACAAGCAATTTCAGTAACTGAACATCTTCCCTAACATTTCAATCAAAAATCTCTTCATTCTTTATCTGTTAACAAATAATAAAGCCTCATCATTCGATCTTAATCAGCAAAAGTCCATTAAGTGCATATTGAAAATGCATATTGTTGTGCAAATCTTTTGGGGGAAAAAAATCCATTTTACTTAAGTTGCGGTCATTTACTTGTTTTCTTGGGAATATGCCCCTCTGGAATAACTGACACTTATTTGCTGTAGTTATGATTAAGAAGAGATTATGGCATGTCCTAAGTGGTTTTTCTTTTAAAATTAATAATTTATAATCAGATCTTAGTATCAAGAACTGAAGTTCTGGCTTCTCAGGCAACAGTGTGTTGCAATTCTGAACTCATTTACCGATGAAATAAATCAAACTGAGCTTAGGGAACTTAACTTCTTGCAAAAATATGTACAACTGAACTGTTAGATATTTTACTCCTGACTCATGACATTAAGAAAGTACCCAGAGATTCCATATATAGAATTTAATGATAGGATAGTAAATATGTCATATGGGAGATGGAAAGTACACAGGAAGTTAAGAGCTGATTTGAGGGTGAGAGGTAGGTAACTGAAGAGTATGGATAATATATTAATAGGAGGAATTTTGTCCTAACCCGAAGGCATAATATGAAAAAAGAATATTGTAGCAAATGTAGGGGTTGGAAGGTCAGTTCAATTCAGCGGTTCTCAACCTATGGGTCGCGACCCCATTTGGGGTCGATCGACCATTTCACGGGGGTCACCAAGCAAGGCTGTCCGCCATTTTTTTCCCCTTTTCCGGCGGGTGCCTTACCTCCCTTGAGCTGGGCCAGCTGGTGGTCGGCCTGCTCCGTCTCTGCCGCTTGCCAGCTACGTCTCGGCCGGCGCAGGGGGCAGAACCATGCATGTGCGGCGCTCTCGGGCAGGGAAAGTCCTCAACTTACGACCGGTTGGGTAGTCCTCGACTTACGACTGGTTTAGTCCTCGACTTAACGATCGGTTGAAGGTTGAGAACCACTGGTTTAATTAGTTTTCTAGGTGATACTATAGTGTATAAAATCAGGAAGATTACAGACTTCAAGATGATTGAGATTACATTATAATGAATAAATTCTATACATTTAGAAAATTATTTAAAATGAGTTTCCTTAACTAAAAATATTAATTAAGATTGGAATCTGCTGTGATCGTGTACCAATGCCCTTTTGAAAAGTTGGTTTGATTTTCATTGATTACCCAATGAAAAGTTATAATCAAGATGCTTTGGATATGGGTGTGTGCCTATTTTACCCTCATGAGTGTCAGTGAAGAGAAACTGTTGCCATAGCTGAGAAAATAGCTTTCATTACAGTAATCATGCCTCCTAATGTCAGAGAGTTTTACTGTAAGCAGATTTGCTTCTTCCTATTTAAGGAGGTGAACTAAGGAGATAGACAATCACGCTAGCTGGATCTCCCTTATACTTCAGAATAAGTATCAGTTTAATTCACACTGATACTTGTAATATATAAATGAGGATTTATAAAATGGAGTTGAAAATGTGAATGTGCAAGGCATTGTGGTAATAGAGTTTTCTCAAGGGGGTTTCATCCACATCATGAGATATACTAATCAGTACAAATGTGTTCTTTATTAGTAAAAGTATATGTATTCAGGCAGTATTTTTTACACCATGTTACTTTAGTTCATTTTAGAAAAAGCAGTTCAAAAGCCAAACATACCCAGGCTAGGTATCAGTATTTTATTATATAAATACTAGCTGTACCCGGCCACGCGTTGCTGTGGCTCAGTCTGGTTAAATGGAAAAGAAAGAAAAGAGAAAGCACACGTTTATGTCACAGGTGTGACATCTATATAATAGTAGGTATATAAAAACACGCGCGTATTCGAATGCAACGTTGTGTCAAAATTTCAAAGCAATCAGTGAAGAACTTTCGGAGATTTAAGATTTTGAACAAACGAACATTTACATTTTTATTTATATAGATGAATGAGCCAAACATGGTCGGCAACATTTTTTGCAACCCTTTGAGCACTCCCAAAGTACATAGAAGTTTTACCTACCCCCAAAACTAAACATTTGGCTGGAAATTGATAGTAAGGAAGTAATATGGCTATTTACTCTGGCTTGGGATCTTACATTGACAATGAAGAGTCAGAAAGCATTATTTGTGCCAGTGCATATGCCATGATTTGGTTAAACAGAGAAGCACAAAAAACACATTTTCTTAATCTTTTTCTTTTGTGTTTAGTGATTCTATGGTGGCAAATTTTCAGCCGTTTTAAGAATTACACCTTTGCTTGCTCACATATAAAGTGTTGAGAATTTGTCACCTGGTATGATTTCACATTTCTTGCATAAGTTTATCATAATGCTACTTTAATGTTTCTATGATCTTCTTGAAACAGTGCTGTTGTCAGACCTATCTTTAAAATGAGGGTTTATCTGATAGAGTTTCAGTTACTCCTGTCTTCCCCCAGAATTATGGATTGTTGTGCTTGTTCTGATTGAATCGTTGCTCATTGAATCTATGATCATTAGAGTTTGGAATTCTGGAGGCCCATTCACAACTAGAAGGCACAGAAGTGCCTCTACTGCGTCTGCAGCTTATTTCAACAACAGCTTGTATAGCAAGATGCACTCCTTACTATTGTATATAATATATGTACAATAGTACATGGTATATATTGGTCCTGATACCAGAGATATTAAACAAAAGTTCTATTTCTCATCTTAACATCTGTCAAAAATCATTCATGGTTATGTATTAATATATTGCATAACATAAGGACAGTACAGCCACTTCTAAGTGGTTTCTCCTCATTGCTGTCTTCCTTTTTCATCTAGCTTCTTTGGCAAATGTTTTCTACATGTTTTCTACATGTTACTAAGCCTTTGGAACACTATACAGTCTTTGTAAAACTGCACTGTGTTTATAAAGCTGCACTGCTTTCTAAAAGCTGCTGTAAGGCACCGCAGCTTTACGAAGACAGCATAGAGTTTTGAAGACAAGGCAGCTTTACAGAGACAGTCCAGCATTCTAAGAACAGTGGGATTTACAAAGAGAGCACTCGAAGGCATGTGTAGGAAACGTTCGCTGAAGAAGCTGGGTCTGCAAGAGACAGCAAGGGGCTTTTGCTTTGGCTGCGGCAGATGGACAAAAAAGGAGAAAAGTCATTGCAGGGAATTGGGAGAGAAGGCAACTGGGCAAATGAATGCTTGATAACACTTGCTGTTGGTGTGGGCTGGTGCCCATCGGGCTGGTACACCTGAGGCTTCCAAGGACATGGCAAACAGCCCCAGAACCGTATGATTATGGGGCTGCTCGGCGTACTGCTAAGCAAGGTGCAAGCCATTTAAAGAACAGAGATGGGAGAAATAAGTGTGTGGGGGGGGAAGTTGCAGGCAGTGCCTTACCTTACTGAGATTCAGGATTTGGAAGGGCGAAGCCTAGAATTGCTTGGATTGGGATGGATATTCGCTTAAAGATCCTTGATTCTTGATTAATAATTGCATTGAGGGGGGGGCTGGAATTGCTGCTGTACGTTTGTGTGGTCAATGTACAATTGTGATCATAAGTCAAGGACAACCTGTAGTAGAGGGAACCAAGAGAAGACGGAAAAAGTGCTTTTGCAAACCAATCTAAGAGAAAATTTGTCAGGATCTGGTTACCTATTTTGTCTAACCTACTGTTCTTTTTCTACTGTCTTTAAAGGATGGCATGAACTGGGTCTGCAGAAATGTCAATGCAAAGAAGAAGTAAGTCAAGCTGAGTTGCCTGGAACTAGAGAAACAGCAAGAGCCAAACATGCTAGCCAGCTGCTAGTGTCTGACCAAATATTGTTCCATCTGCCTGCAGCTACAGCTGTTCAGACTGGTAATCGTAGCTAAGCCTACTGCTTCTATAGGAACTTTATCTGTTGACTAGTGTCATCCCCATCCCCATGCAAATCTTTCTTTCATTCTTTTTGAAAAGTAAATAGTATTAAGGGTCTCCCTGTTGTTCATACTAGCAATGAAAATAGGAATGGATTGCAGTCTGACATAGACACTTCTGATGAGTTCCACAGAGGTCAGATTATTACAGCAATATATATCAATGGCCACATCCATTCTGAAATCACTCAAGATCCTTCCCTGGTCCAGTTCAGAACTTTTCTCATTGTCCAATAAAGTGATCTTTTGTTCAAGCAAATGCTTCAATTTTAAAATATACATACCACATTGCTTACAAGGCACTCATTTGGCCATATGCCCAAGGGTCTGTCTTTTTTTCACAAAGACATCTATAAAACTCAATTGGAATGAAAAAGCAACAACTCATGCAGGATGCCATAATTTGATGAAATAAAACAACATGTTTGTAGTGGTTGTTATTATATTTATATTTGACCTAAACTTTCCCCAAATGTCAGATTTCACTAAGTGTTTTTGGAAGTTCAAGCTTATTGCATTGTATTAGTCCTTGAAAATAGATTTTTTTTAAATAGTGAAAGTAAAAGCTCAAAATCTTATATAAGAAGTTAGTAACAATAGGCTTTGTCATGTTCTGAAGGGCTTTGATGCAAAATTTGATTCAGTATACCTGAAATCTATAAAGTCAATGAATTATATCTGGTAATACAAGCAGTAGAAAAGTGTGAAGTGAAAGGTTTTGTCCATTTTAAGGAGTCATGACCGTAGGTATTTTTTGGTGAGTTAGTATAGTTTCCCACCATTCTCATTTACATTTAATATTGCTAACTCTGCAGGAAGTCATTGTCTAGATGTCTGAAATATTGAAATTTGTCAAAGATTTATCTTTGGCCATGAGAATGTTGTTGCATCAAAATGAAGAGCAAGAGAAGAGAATCGTAAAGAATCAATAATATTCTAAATATATTCCCCAGAAAGACACATGATTTAATAAATCTTAATGTGCTGCCACAATACCAGTATATGCCGTAAGTTACTGCTTCTTGCCTCTTAAGTTATCATTTCATGGGGGTACTCTTTTGTGCAAGAGATCACTTGCAGAATGTAACCAGATTGTAAGGCTGAAAGAACTATGGAAATTGAAACGTTCCCTCTTGTTCCTGAAGGAAGTCAGACTGTCTTACTAATCCTCAAACCATGGGCATCTCTTGTGGGGAGCCAGACAGCATTAGCTTCTTTCACATATTCTTTATCCAATCACTATCTTGTGATCCTTGCTCATAGCTTACTGTTTTTGGGGTGGGATGGGGCAGATATTTTCCTCCTTGGTATCTTAAAACAAGCACAAATTGTAGATTACATATATTAACTCTCTGTCTGACCTGCTTCTGCTGGTTTATGAGAGATCATAAGCAAACATTAAAAGAAGTAGGAGGTATAAAATGAAGTTTGTGTAACCATCTAAATACTTCTAGGGAAGCAACTCTGCTAATTAAATGCATGCTCCAATTTCTAGGTTTTTTTTAAGAGTATTTCATTTTAGATATGCCATAATATATAACAGCTAAAATGTTGCTTGCCATTTTAAAATAAAACAAAAATGATGTGTAATCCTTTGGTCCAAGTATCAGAGGCTCATGTCATAATATGTCAATCAATTCAAGAATAGGTATATTATATATTTCTCTTATATATCAACCTCTTCGTCTCCAGAATTCACTGTTGTGTTGGAAATACATTCTATTCCTATGCAGTTTGACCTTCAAGCACACTTTTCAGCTCTCAAAATTTTTGGATACAAAATTTCCCATTTTTCTTAATGCATTTCTTGCTGAGAATTTTGTTGAGAACGATTTAATTGGAATAACCGGAAAGAATCAGTATGCCCTGTTGAACTCAGTAAGCCCCCAAACTCCGGTGTTAATGCATCTATCAAGTTTTATTCATTCTGAACTAAGAAAATATTTGAAGCGCCCCCTCCCCCCAAGATGGAATTGGCCTAATGGCAGTATCTTGCCAAAGGTAATCTTGCTTAGTGGATAAATGCCTCATGAACAACACGGAAGAAGTGATAATTCATGGAACAATCTCTGGTTATTCCTTACAAAATGAAAATGCTAGCAGAACACAGCATTAGTTAGCTGTTCTTAAATCAATCTCCACATGGCCAGCTTTTTAAAAAATTCTCTTACTGGTCCTTATAATATTCCCCTGTGAGCAATATGCAATATGTATGGTACAATGTGTAAAAGCCATACTATGACTACTTGGCAAGTTGTTTTTCCAGTAAAATATTATCTCTTTTTTATTAAACTGTGTTGATATATTTAAAGGTAGGTCAGAAAGGTTGAAGTGTAGCTTGAGACACCTGATTTAACATGTTAAATTTAACATGTTAAAATATACTTAAAAGCATGGTTCAAATGTGGTTTAATTGTTTATTTTCATCACACACACAGCTTCCTTACTCTCTAAGCAAACATTTTCTCATAAGATCATGTCAAAGCCATGCCTGCAAATGTTATCTAGCACACTTTTCTTTTTTTAATTTAAAAAACACACAATTTTATAAGCTCTTCTTTTCTGAAGTTAATGAAAAGTCTGATGAGATTTGGTAATATCAAACCTCTCTGTATACATTTAGATATTTGGCACACTTGAATTAAATTTGGAAGAAATAACTAAGACTTTTTGATTGTCTATCATTTTTATAATAAATTCTCTATATTATTTCTTTTAATAAAAATGGTTGGGAGAATAGTGTGTGAAACTGACATAATGTTTCCATTCATTTCATCCTAAAGTGGTAATTTTTTATTGTTTCTGTATGCTAATGGCCATTCATCTACTATGCCTGGTTATCTGTAATGATGTCTATGGTCTTTGGATTTGTGCATATTCTCTAGATAGTAAAAGCAATGCAACTTTTTATCATGTTTTGAGTGGCTCAGGTGTGTTACAATACTAAATATGCTTGTCAGAAGAACATCCCATTTAATCAATTATATGTACTGCCACATAAAAAGTTTAGTACAGCTTTCCCAAACCTATTACTCTCTAGATAGGTTGAACTGCACCTCCTATTATAGGTATTGTAATTCAGTACAGTTGGTGGAGGTGATGGAGGGGGAAACTGGCTTAGTGTGTTTGCTAGGATGACCAATAGATTGTTGAGAGAGCTTCAACACCTCCTTTTTCATTTTTACCCCATTAAATCACAGTTATTCCTGCAATATTCAGGGCTGCTATATAAAATAGCTAATACAAAAAGAAATTCATTCTAAACTCAGAACTATAGTCAGATGATCAGGACCCATTCTATTATTTTATGGAAAACTCTATGTATCTATCATATTTGTCCAATTCTAGTTATAGTGATAAATAATATTCATGATGACTTGTTATCCCGGAATATGGTTATAGATGCACTTAATACAGTAATAGTAGTACTGCATTTATACTAGCAGCAGCAGAGCAGCAACAGCAATCATCATATCATCAATGTCATTATCCACCATTTCACCTTTCCAAAAGAACTCAGGTATCTTACATAGGATCACTTTATGCCCACAACAATAATCTGTGGGTTAGTGTGCTGAGAGACTGACTGGCCCAAAGTTTTCCAATGAGTTTTGTAGCTGAGGATAGACATCAATGTCTTAACTGCTAGCTTTGAATTGGAATCCTTGAAGCAAAACTTAGTTTTGGTTGTGTTGGTGTTCCAGTTTCAAAACCTTAACATTAGCATGGAATGTGTGTCTGACACAACATTGCCCTAGCCACAATCCCAGATTATACACATGGACAAGATTTTTATTTATACACTTATTTATTACAATTATTAAGAATGGTGAACATCTTCATTCACAAGAGTATTGTTGAAAGTTATCAGGCAGGAGATCTGCTGGCATTTATTTTCCCAAAAGGGAATTTGACAAACTAAAGATAATTTAGTCCATGGAGGCAATAGAGTAGAAAAAATAGGATTTTCATCTTTCCTGTCCCTGTACTATAAGCACAAATTTGTTCTATAGATTATTTTAATAATGAAAAAAAATCTGTTTTAGGATTGGAAAACTTCCCCAAAGCAGAGGTTTTTTTTTACATATTTTATTGGTTTTAACTATAACAATCTCTAGTGCCTAGTGTACAGCGTGTTGTCTTGGTTTATGTTTTAATAAAAGAAAAAAAGACAATAATAATCAATTAACAATCAGTAACAATTAAGTTTGATAATTCCATAATTAGTATATTAATTAATAATATATTTCTTTGATCTTCCCTTCTCCCGTTTATATTCTCCTTCAACCTTAAAGAAAATGTAATTCTTTATATTTTTAATATATAAATAGTTAAATATAAACACATTTTTTTATATTTATACAAATAATAATGATCTCTATGTATAACATTTTTTGCTTATATTATTCTTATAACCACCATCTCATTAATTCACCATGCATCCTATTTTTGTAATTTTTGTTAAGCTTAATTTCTCTTATATTCAATCCAATTCTTATCAGTTATAATTTCTTCATATGTTAGTCATCTAAATGTCCAAATTTTCCCTATCGTGCATTATAGAAATCCTGTACTTATTATCTATCTTTTAATATCTAGGTATAACATCCTTTTCAATCAGTTTATATCACTTATATTAATAAAAGTTATATCAACCCACTATTTTTACATTTCATATATTGTAGAACATACTATATTACTTAAATCTCTTATCCCTCTTGTTATAGGGCCCCTTTATGTTCAAGGTTCTCTATTCTTTTAACCATATTCAAATAAGTGTTTGTTCATATAATAGTCCATCTGGTAGGGCGAGTCAAATCCCTTGCATCTGTCTCTGGTCTTCTTTTGCCAGTTAATGTTCCAAGTTGATATAATCTGCTTACCCAGCAGTTCTTGTATTTTTGTAAATGTTGTTGGGAATACAAAAGATGAAGTAAGTAAGATGTATACTTTCTGTCTCCCAAACTCTGATAGTTCTCCTAAAAATTCTATAGTCCATTCCATTTTTATTGTTGTATCAGAATCTTGTAGATTTTTTCCTGTTTATATTAGATTGTAATTCTTTTCATTTGTTGTTTCATCAATATGGTCGTATTCTTCTAATTTGTGGTCTCTTATCTGATTTGTTTGTTCATTTGTCATTATTTCCTGGGTGTTTTTTAATTGTAGATTTAAATTAGAAATATGCTTATTTAAATCATCAAAGTTGTTTCGAATTTCCTTGTGGTTTGAATCTATTGTCATCCATATTTGTCCTATAAATAAATAAATTGCATTTATTTCCTCCTGCAAAGTATTTGTCTTGCCTTGAAATATTATTTCTGAAAGTCTTTGATTTTCCAGGCTAAATCCTTCAGGAGAAAATATTGAATATGGCATCCTATCATTTTTTGATACATATACGGCATCCATGTTGTCTCCCCCTTCAAA